TAGTTGCAGGAGGCTGTGGCTCAGTGAGAGAGTGAGCTGATCTTCTGATCAGGAGATCAGGGAGCACAGGTTCAATCCCCACTGCAGTCAGCATGTCGTCGTGTCCCTGGGCAAGACACTTCACCACCTCAAACATTTTCTTTATACACTTCCTTTTTAAAGTGAACTTTGTGAAACTAATGACTGTTGTTGAAGGGTTTTTTATCTGACATGACATTGAATGCACATCAGTCAAATATGTTTAATTTTCCTTATTCAATTGATCAGTTCAGACTTTTTGGGAAATGAATCATCAGCTGAGGCATCCAGAAAACTAGTACTAACAGTTCTGTGTGTAGTACCGTTACACAGCTGCGAGTACTGCAGCAGAGCAGGAAGAAAAGCCCTACTGTAGTTCTGCTGCAGTGCAAACCTTTCACTCCATCCCTGCTGCAGGCTGACTGTCACCTCATTGGAATTCACCGTTAGAAGCAAAACAGCCAAATGACTCAAATGTAAAGTAAGCTAATTCTACTGTGGAGACTGTGTGATTTAAACACATTAACAAACACACACACACAAATGTCTCAGCAACAATACCTTCTTAGAACACAGAAGATCACATTTGTTCTTCAGAGCATAGTGAGGGCATTAGTTTGAAGTCAGAGCAGATTACAGATCGCCTCTTTGAGGAAAACCTTCAGGCTGCAGGGGAAAAAGTCCATTGCTGCGCTCAAGAAAAACAAGTCTATGTTTTCACAAATCTCCTTGCATGTTGGAGGTATTTTGAAGCAGGTCTGGCGGTGTTACAACAACAGTCTCTGATTAAATTAGCATTGCTAACCTTTGCCTTCACAGCGCAATTAATCTGCTGCGTTTGGCTGAATAAACAGGGTAATACATCGCTGCGAGGCTGTCAGACGGCTCGGACACTTTACATCTGCTGCCAGGGAGCAGGCAGGCGGCGGGCTAAGTGTTAGCGTGGCGTTTTGGCCACTTAGCAAAGCTAATGAGGAATAAAAAGAGAGGATATAATTCAGGGAGAAATGCTGTTAGAGGCTTGCGTTGACATGTCTGCAGATGCCACACTTAGGAGGCTTTTAAAACACTGATCCGAGTTCATTCCATGAATCCACTTCCTGTTTGAATGTAGACGCATCTTTTTAAGATTCTATATTTTTTCAGAATATTTGTATTATCTTTCAGTTTGCAAAGTAAATAATTAGAACCAAATTGTATTTAAAATAGTCATAAGTAAATTAGCCTGTAAACAAGAAAAAGAAAAAAAAAGCCTTCAGCTGTGTTCAATCTTGGCAGAGGAGTTGGCTATAAACAGTCATTTATAAGTGTGCCAGTTAATCTACTTAACACCAAATATATCATGTCTTTTGGCCTCAGGGGTCAAACTATTATACGTCTTAAATGCCCAACATGTTTGGGATGAGTGGAATATATGAGATTGTTAAGGCTGTATATGCATACTTATTTAGTTGTTTGTGTTATGTATTACATGTAGAAAGCAATATAATTGTTTTCAATCCATCAAGGTCTGAATCACAGTTGGAATTGTGTGTAATCCTGATTTTGCTCAATCTTGTTCTGCTTTGGATTTCAAATTCTGGAAGGTTTCTCGTATTGCTAAAATAAAATAACTAATTTAGTCCTTTTCACAACTCAGGACTTCTTTTACCCCATGCGTAATTATTCCACCACCTACAAATCACGAGTAACATTCAATCCATACCAATATATAAGAGTGCTTTGAACATAAATCAATTGGAAAAATAAATACCAAAAGCTTCTTCTTTAAGGAAGAAAGTTAAAAGATATAATTATGATCAAGTGTTTGTTAACAAGCCTGCTATTAATGTTAACTCTGGGGGGAACACTTTGGGTCCCATTTGGATGATAAGATGTGGCAACAAATGTTTTTAAATGCAAAGAAGATTACATGTTCTAATAAATCCGATGAGGCAATATAGGATTATTCACAGTCTACATGTTACCCCAGCTTTTCGATGTAAATATGATCCTATGTGCTCTTCATTATGCTTCAAATGTAAAAGACATAAGGACATTTTGAAATGGCTTTGTATGCTGCACGCCTCACAACTCTCCAGAAATGGTTGGATGAAGATCCGCCTGATATTTTGTTATGGTTTGAAAAACTGATGTCCATTTTGCCATTGGAGAGGTAGTCAAAAGTCATACAAGGAACTCTGGATGACTTTGCCAGGAACTGGTCCCCAATGAAATCATACATGAACGGAATGATCCAGTGTTTAACTGGGCATACATATAACAGAATAAGTATTCACACGAGTACCACACAAGGTTGTTAGTGCTGCTGTTTATTCTTTTGTGGGTTTTACTATGTTATGTCTTAAATCTTTCCCTATTGTCTCACCTTGTAACTGCTGAAAAATAAATAAATATTGAAAAACAAAACCTGCTCCTCCTCAGAGGATGAACCTTTAGAAAATGTTTATTTGCTTGCTATGATTATTTGTGTATGTTAAATAAGCTGTGTGTATTTATTTTTGTGATTCAGAGGAAACATACAAAACAACTGATGAAAATAAGTGTAACCATTATCATTCAAAATATAATAATTGCGGTAAAAACAATTAGGGGATTACTTGTGCCCGCAGTGTGCATGTGCGCTTACCCCTTGTTTGTTGTGTTGTGTTTGGGTACGATCTTTCCACATTTGGTGCTGTAAAGCCAAACCCAGACGAGCGAGCATTGACCTCCAACGATCTCCTCAGAAACACATGAGACGACTCCCTCTCAACTGACACACAAACAGAGAGTAAACATAGGAATAAACATTTGATTCTTGTTATAGCACTCAGGGCATAACAATCTTCCAGGAGAGACTGACATAGTTTTCATTTTTTAGATTCAACTGGGGCCCAACAGTCGTGTTACCTGTTTACATGTCTAGCATTATGCATATTCGGTTTTTTTCCCACCTTATTGGTAACCTTTATAAGCTCTGGCAGATAGGTCACGATTTCAGATGGCTTTGTTAGTCGTTAGGCAAGTCTAAATCACTTGGCAGATACAAAGAATGTTACACTTTAGTTAATATTGGAGTAATTGGAACAACAACTCGGAAACATTTTAAAATAGGTCTAAAAAACATTTTCTTTGTAGCGACTATTAGTGTTGTAGTAATCGAGTCTATTCAAAATATAAAATTATATTTGTGTGTTTGCCCACAAACACTCAAGAAAAACACTGGACAGTATGTAAAGAATGTAATGTGACCCTCACAAGACAGCTGGGACTCAGAGGTCGCGTTAACCGAATATTTTCCGTCTGACGGACTTTTTTTAACAATGACGAAAAAATCTGAAAGCAGTCCGTCATTTTGACAGATTAGAACAAACTCGGAACAGCGCCAAAGTGTCCCCGCAGCGAGGCCACACACACACACACACACACACACACACACACACACACACACACACACACACACACACACACACACACACACACACACACACACACACACACACACACACACACACACACACACACACACACACACACTACACACACCACACACCACACACACACACACACACCACACACACACCACACACATAATGGTAGGTTTATTTTAAAAGTGAGAGTGAGAATATCAAAAAGAAAATCCAGAAATGGACATTATATAAAAGATAGATTTTGATATGCATTAAACTGTGGGAAATAAGTATTTGATCCATTGCAAAACATGTGTTAGTACTTGGTGGAGAAACCCTTGTTGGACACACAGAGGTCAGACACTTTTGTAGCTGGTCTCCAGGTATGTGCACATCTCAGGAAGGATGTTGGTCCACTCCTCTCTGAAGGTCCTCTCCAAATCCTTAAGGTGTTGAGGCTGATGCTTGGCCTCTGGAAGCTTCAGCTCCCTCCATAGATGTTCTATGGGATTAAGGTCTGGAGACTGGCTAGGCCCACTCCCTCACCTGAATGTGCTTCTTCTTTAGCAGCTCCTGTGTTGCCTTGGTCGTATGTTCAGGGTCATTGTCCTGCTGGAAGACCCCTCCATGACCCATGTTCAGAGTCCTGGCTGAGGGAAGGAGGCTATCGGACAAGATTGTATGGTGCATGGCCCGTCCATCCTCTCCTCGATGCAGGGAAGTGGTCCTGTCCCCTTAGCAGAGAAACACCCCAAAGCATTACGTTTCCACCTCCATGCTGACGGGGGGATGGTGTTCTGGGGTTATACTCAGCATCTCTCTTCCTCCAAACACGGCGTGTCCAGTTGATGCCAAAGATCTCGATGTTGGTCTCATCTGACCTCATCACCTTCTACCAAGCCTTCTCTGAATATTCAGATGTTCATTGTCAAACTTCAGACGGCCTCTCATGTTCTTCTTGAGCAGGGCGCCTTCAGGCGCTGCAGGATTTGATCCATGATGGTGTAGTGTGTTCCCAATAGTTTTCTTAGGTCTGTGCTCACAGCTGCCTTGAGATCATTCACAAGTTCCTCCCGTGTAGTTCTTGGATGATGTTAACTACTGCAGGGATGATATGACAAATTGATAACCGAAATGTTTATTGCTTAGTCTAAACATCTAATGAATTCCTAGAAACGCTAATCACACTGTTCACCCGACATTAAGGATTAATGTGTTCTCATACTGACGTCAACCGTTCAATAAACGGGTTTGAACGCCACACAAGCTCTTGTCCTCTTTTATATAAAATGCTTCCTGTGCAATGTTTTACCGTGGAGCAAATGAATATACTTCGCCAATAGTGAAGCTATATAATATGTTACGGATACCGAGATCTACGGCCCCAGAGATAACCTCCGTTACAGAGCCCCAGACCGACGGCGATTGATTGTTGATTGATGCCCATCTCTTTTTTTTATATTTTCGAATAATCACACCAACAGTGGTCTCCTTCTCTCCAAGCTGCTTTCTGATGGTTTTGTAGCCGATCCCTAGCCTGGTGCAGGTCTACAGTCTGGTCGCTGAGGTCCTTAGATAGCTCTTTAGTCTTGCCCATGGTGGAGAGGTTGTAATCTGATTTGTTGATTCTGTGGACAGGTGTCTTTTACTTTTGTCTTCCAGTTCATAGAGTCCAAAAACAAAGACGCCTAGACCCCTTAGTTCCAGTGAAGGGGAATCTTAATGCTTCATCTAACCAAATCATTTTGGACAATTCTATGCTTCCAACTTTGTGGAAACAGTTTGGCGAAGAAGGCCCTTTTCTTTTCCAGCATGACTGTGCCCCACAAAGCAAGGTCCATAAAGGCATGGTTGGATGAGTTTGGTGTGGAAGAACTTGACTGGCCCGCACAGAGCCCTGACCTCAACCCCAATGAACACCTTTGGGATGAACTAGAATGGAGAGCCAGCCTCTCATTCAACATCAGTGTCTGACCTCACAAATGCTCTTCTGGATGTTAGGGCAAACATTCCCACAGACACACTCCAACATCTTGTAGAAAGCCTTCCCAGAAGAGTGGAAGCTGTTATAGCTGCAAAGGGGGACCAACTTCATGTTAATGCCTAAGAATTTGGAATGGGATGTCATAAAAGCTCCTGTAGGTGTAATGTGTAGGTGGCCTAATACTTTCGTCTATATAGTGTACATTCAGACACACAAGCACGCACACACTAGAATAATATTCACACAGTCTCTCACTTTGTAACGCTCTTCTGCTCGTCTGAAGCACCTCCACACGCCAATCTGTCCCAGTCATTCCATTCAGTCATTCCAACCAGTTAGGCCTCCAATCATCATTTTCCAACATGAAACGGACAGATTTCAAACCTGAATAAAAAGTGTGAGTCGGAGAGAGCGGTTGGGTTTTGTGAGCCGAGAACGAGGACATTCAGCAGTAGTACAGCGCGTTGTAAAGTCTGCGGTGTAGTGTGTTGTTGTGTGGAGCCTGCCTGTGTCAGGAGGATCCTTCCTTTCCGTCCTCTGAGTTTCGTGCCAGAGGAAATTCTTCACAAACTGGCGGAGATTGGGAATGACAGGGTGACGTACAATGAGGGAATTGACTATGGCTAAAATGGCCATTCTAAGCCGATTTGCGTCTCCCTTTTGTTTTGTCCATCAGACTGCCAGATAGAGAAGCTAATTGGTCACTCCACAGAACATGTTTCCACTGCTCCAGAGTCCAGTGGCGGCGTGCTTTACACCCCTCCATCTGACGCTTGGCATTGTGCTTGTTGATGTAAGGCTTGATGCAGCTGCTTGGACATGAAAACCCATGAAGCTCCCACAGTTTTGTTCTGATATTAATGCCAGAGCTGGACATCTGCAGTTATTGAGTCAGCAGAGCTTTGGCCACTTTTACGCACTATGCGCCTCAGCACTCCTCAGCACTACCCCCCCCTGGTCTCGGATAAGGTGGTCTTGACTACAACACTATGTTGTTTCCACATTTAAACATGAATGCCATGAACACACCAGTTTCAAGTTTCCACGTTGGAAAATAGGACCATCTAAGGAGCACCACCATTGGCCTTGGTGAAACACTGTTTTTCCACCGTGTTCTACTTTGTACAGCATCAGTGCACACACATCAGTGCACACACATCAGTGCACACACATCAGTGCACACACATTTCCCTGGGGAAAAATTAAGTTTTTATCTTATTTCACGCTTTTATCCAGAGCTTTTTACCATAAACCAGAACTACACTCAGAACAGCAAGAAACATGCAGGTACATTTGGTACAAACAAGCCAAACCATTGTAGGAGCTGGAGCAGTATCTCTGATGTCCCTGCTGGGGACCACTTCACAGCATTTAAACACAGTAAGGGAACAAGTTGCTCTGACAATTGACCACCGGACTAAACATTATACTGTTGGTGATTTATAACATTGAAGTTTATTTTCTTGTCAAGTTAATCAAAATTGAACTAATCATTACTCTTTGTAGATTATAGGAGCTATGGCAATGACCAAAATATAAGAATTTGAAAACTCAGCTTCTCGGAGTTCTCAGTTTGTTTTAGTAATTAAATTTAAAAAAAAGGTCTGAAGGAGATAAGAGCTCTAAATTGCTCTTCTGTTTCTAAAAATCAGACTCTCTGTCCTGGAGGCTGATCAGAGCAGAACAAAAAAATGGCAAATTAACCTTTGTGGATGCTAGAGGAGGAATCGCTAGCTTTCTGCAGAGACTTTGGGAAAATTACACCTAGTTATAAAAACATTTTTCATCTTAATCTGTTTGACAGGACAAAGACTTCAGACAGGTAATAGGAAGAAAAGCTCAAAATGAACTTCTCTCACAGGAGCAGATTACTGATTCAGTGGGAAATAAAATCCACAGAGCCCTTGTACCATTTGAGCCCGATTTTCACTATTAACCTGTTGAACCCCATCCCTGTTTTTCAGGTCTCAGGCTCGAAAATGACATTCCCAGAACAAATGACCATATCTTCCCTTCTATCTTTTTTCTCAAAGTAATGATAAACCTGTGAGTTGGATGTAGAAAAGTCAGAATCAATATAGATGTTTTTTATTTTAAAGAGAATTCAGATTGAACATATTAAAAAACTGTAAATTATAGTGTCCGTCCAAAAAATATGTTTTACTTGAGTGAAAACTACCCTTGGATAGGTAGACTAAAAGCTTTAGGAATCCAAAGTACAACATATAATAAGTACCCTGTATCAAGATTGATGCAAAACAAGTGACATGTGACCTTTTTAGAGAGGTTTAGCAAAAGAAACTCCACCTCTGAGGTGATTTGGGTGGAAATGGGCGTTTTTGCCGTTTCTCTGGAACCCATTGGTCGATTTTGATGATTGACATCTCTTTTTAACCGTTAGAGCCAATAGAATCGAAGGGGAATTTCCACACACACACCAACGTTACCAAAAAAAAGTGGCGGCTATGCGCATGCAGTTTGCCCAGAGCGAAAACTGACTCACGCTCTGACATCTGGAAACGGAAAAGCTGGTTTATTGCTCATGGATTATCAGAAATCATTTCAAAGTGACACAGACACATTGGATTAACCTATGGATTAACCTTCAGCAGTGTTTCCCCTATATACAAATAGTGGCGGTGCAGCACCGCTGCTAGGGGGCCCCAGCCAGGTACCCACATTTTTTTTAATTAAATTTTTTTTTAAAACTTTTTTATTAAAATAATAATAAGTGGCGACCCTTTTTAATTTTTGATTGTTTGTTATGTGGATTTTTAGTATTTGTGTTACTGTATGTTCAATAAAGGTGTATTTTTGCTAAATCTTGAGACATTGCCACTATGTACTAAGCAGGGCCGATTTTTGGCATCATGGGCGGTCGCCTAGGGCGCCAGATCTGGGGGGCGCTGTGCTGGTAGCACTGGGAGGGGTAAAAACATTTTTGACCGTTGGCGCTCATCCTAATTTTCGGCCTTGATGTAACAACATTCATAATTAAGTAAATTTAACACCTTTTTCACCTCGGTTACACTTTTAATTTGCCCTGTACGATGGGCGCTGCAAGTGATGAAAGTGGGGGATGTTGGCTTATCTGGCGCCCGCAGCTCACAGCCAAAGTGCGAGCGTGGGAGCGAGAGAGGGAGAGAAAGAGAGAAAGAGAGGGCGCACCGGTACCGGCGCTGTTGTTATTAGAATCTGGTGCTAGCTGCGCTAACGGATATAAGAAGTAGATGTTTCTACAACCAGGGTGGAGGAGAGCTCTCCTGTCAGACTGAGAGGCTCAGTGAGGTAAAGGACTCTGAGTGTTTAGATAGTTAATTTTAGTCTAAGTTATCTCAGTGGGTCTCAAACGTTTTGATCACAAATGATGTAAACACATATTTCCTTTATAATTGAAATACTTAATTGTCTGATTTATTTGCTACAGTATGTGTTGCATTATGGGACATGCTCTTAAAAACAGAACAATTTGCTGCTATTACAGTCAGTGTTATATTCAGTCATCTCTCCATGTTACAGTCTGGCTGAAGAAAATGAAGAAGTCAAATGCCCTTTTTTGCCAGACATTTTAATTTGTTATGGCAGGTGAAAAAGCACAGGTGAAACTACCCACATTTACCATATCTCTGTCTCAAGAGGCCTCTCTCCAGCCTTTGTTCAACTGCAATGCTTTTGACTTGCCTTGACATATCAATATGTCGTGAAAAAACAAACTCTATTGGGACCCTCAGTGTCTGTCTGTTTGCATCTATGTGTCCATCCATCTACCTTTATCCAGGGATCTCTCCAGGGTTCTGGGTTTCTTCCTGACCACACTGAGCAGCACAGTTTGACCCGTCTCCTTCATCACCTCCAGAACTTCCTGATTGTTCATACCATGGAGACTGACGCCATTCAACTGTTGCGTCACACAAGAGTACAGAGAGAAAGACAAGTAGAGACAGAGACAGGGAACGGAGTGATAACATATGCCAGATCAGGTTGATCTGTAATCTCTCTGAAGTTGTTACATGTCAAATGAGATGGACAGAGAACATCTTGTCCAGATTAAAAAGTTTGACCGATTTAATAATAATATTTTGGATGAAATCTTTCTCTTACAGCGAGCAGGCGGTCGTGGACTTGGATGTTTCCGCTTTGATCTGCAGCACTACCAGGAACCACATGTTTCACAAAAACACCAACTGCGTCTGAACAGGGAGGGGAGAAGGAGACAGAGAGGAGAGAGAGTTTACATTTTATTGGACCAATAAAAACAGAGCAGCACAATAAGGAAAATATGCAACGCTTCATAAACCTGTTTCATAAAAGAATAAACAACACCACTCCAGATGTTGTGGGCTACAAGTTGAGACTGTGAAATGTAACAGACTGTGTTGAATAAAACAAATGTTGCATCTTCAACTTGACAAAATTCAGATCCATATGAATTCCTTCACATCGTGTAATATGTAAAGGCCCTCAGATATGAGTTATTTTGCACTGTATCAGTTGATAACAATAATAATATAAGCCATGCAATTGTGCAACTGGTTCACAGGAAGCCCCCCCTAAAGCGGCGTACCAACCGCTGGAACTGCGACAACAGCAATGAGTGATATTGGGCTATATAAATAAACATTGATTGATTGAGCAATGTAATCTCAAATGACGGCAGCACGGATCAAGGTTTAACTGCCAAAGTCTGTTCACAGTTCCTTCCAACCGTTAGTATGCCGTTGAACAGAGTATTTTATGGACGTGGAAGTAATACGATCATTTTTAATTCAATAAAATCATTTTGAATTACTATTTTTTATTCAGTATGTGGTCCTGTAATAAGCAGCGTCATTATTGAAAAACAAAAAATAGCAACTTTACTTAACTTCTGAAATATCCAAATGTACCAATCAGAATCAAGTATTCAACTGTGTAATAATACAAGTTATACAGCTGCACTATTGTTGTTTTACAGTAAACGTTCTAAGGCAAGGCAAGTTTATTTATATAGCACCTTTCAACACAAGGCAATTCAAAAGGTTTAACAAAAATGAAAGATATTAAGAGCATTAAGAAATAGTGCAGCAGAAACATATTGTAAAATGCCATTTAAAAACACTCAAATATAATTAAAGCTGCAAGCAGCGTTGAGCGGGTCTTCGACGCTCCACAGGCTGTTGGCCGCACATCGACGTGTCACGGTGTTTTCCGGACTCGGCCGTTGGCAAATGTGGGAAGTTTCAGGCCGATCGAACATTGTCTATAGGAGTTACAGCAGTAACATAAACATTTTGTTTGATGCAGCGTTCAGTTATTATGCTCCAAATATCTGGAACAAACTCCCAGAAACCTGCAGGTCCGCTGCAACTCTGACTACTTTTAAATCCAGGCTGAAGACTTTTCTTTTTGTCGCTGCTTTTAATTGAACTATTTACATCTTAAACTGCACTGTAACTTTTATTCATGTATTTTTTCTTTTAATGTTTATTTTTTTTATCTTTTCTTTTTAATGACTGATTTTAAATGCCATTTCTTAATGTCTTTCATTTTTGTAAAGCACTTTGAATTGCCTTGTGTTGAAATGTGCTATATAAATAAACTTGCCTTGCCTTGATGGCGAGTGATCTATCGCCATGGCAATGGCATATGATGACACCCCATAATTGACATAAAGCTGTTGAGGGCCGGACCATTAGCCATCATCTGAAGTTTGGTGCCATTTGGACGATTTTCCATTGAGTTATGATTACATTGTGTTTTATGGTGAGGGATGCCATGCCGTGGAAACGTCATATGATGAGACCCCAGCTTTAGCGTAGAGCTGTTTAGGCATGGACCGGTGATATACAAGTGAAGATTTGGGGACGAACGGACCGTGTCCATTGGAGTTACATCAGATTTGACATAGAGCTGTTCAGGGCAGCAGTGTTAACCATCATGTGATGTTTGCGTTCTGAGCAGGTCAGTTGGAGTTATGACATCGTGTTCCATGGCGAGGGATCGCCTAGCATCGAGCTGTTGAATCTGGGGACAGAAAGCTGACCAGTCCCTGAAGACCTGAGAGATCTGGATGGTTCATAATTTAGCAGGAGGTCAGAAATGTATTTTGGGCCTAAACCATTCAGTGCTTTATAAACCAGCAGCAGTATTTTGAAATCTATTCTTTGACACACAGGAAGCCAGTGTAAAGACTTCAGAACTGGAGTGATGTGATCCACTTTCTTAGTGTTAGTGAGGACTCGAGTAGCGGCGTTCTGAATCAGCTGCAGCTTCCTAATAGATTTTTTAGTGAGACCTGTGAAGACACCATTGTAGTAGTCCAGTCTACTGAAGATAAAAGCATGGACAAGTTTTTCCAAATCCTGCTGTGACATTAGTCTTTTAATCCTAGATATATTATTTAGGTCAGTGGATCTGAACCTGCGGTACACGTACCACTGGTGGTACGCCAGCGGTACGCGTACCACTGGTGGTACGCCAGCGGTACGCGTACCACTGGTGGTACGCCAGCTCCCGCTAGTGGTACGCGGAGGAGTCTGAAATATAACTAATTTTTTTATTTTTTTATTTTATTTAACCAGATGAAAACATTGAGACAACATCTCATTTACAACGCTGACCTGGCCAAGAAGGCAGCAACGGTTCTTACACATAACACAGACGTAAAAAATACAGAAAACACAACTAAATAAACAAAAGACAAAAAGCAGTCACGACATTGTGCACATTTAGGACAGTAAGAAAGGTGCACTACTTATTACTGCAAGAGCAGCTGGTGGTAAGGACCTCAGACATCTTCCATTTAAAACAGGCTATCGGGACAAGTGCCATCAGTTTGAGGCTTGATTGAATAACATTCATTACAAAATAAATCATACTATCAAAATACTACAACGAATGAAAATAAGCTTGAGATAATTGAAACTGTGGTTTAAATAAGTTCTAATTGGCTATTGTTGTTTTTAGATTTAGAAACAAATTTAAAGCGTATTAGCGTTGCTAATGACGACCATACTACCCGCGAACGATTAGCGAACGTTGCAAGTAAGCTAAAGAAAGAAGAAAGCTGAATGATGTTAAAAACGTGGCTCAAAACGGGAGGTATTCAGAAGAATCAGAAACAGGTTTATTGCCAGGTAGGTTCGCACTTACTAGGAATTTGACTTGATGTCACGGCGCATACATAAAATATAAAAAACAAGAAATCTAATCTTTTACACCGTAATAAAATACAGTTAAATAGCAATACAAATTAAATAAAGCAGTCATTTGCATGGAAATAGAATGCTATGAATGAATTTTAGAATATAAACTATGAAATGTCAAATAAGAATGTGTGCAGAAAGGAGTATGAACATTGTGTGCATTAATGTAATGCATATAGAGATGTGGCAGGTAAAGTGTCAGTGGGGGGGCCTTGCTTAAGAGGCCGGTAGCGGAGGGGAAGCATCTGTTCAGGTGGCGAGAGGTCCTGGTCCCGATGGAGCGCAGCCTCCTGCCAGAGGGGAGGGGGGTGAACAGTTTGTGTCCAGGGTGGGAGGGGGTACAGAGGAGAATATTACCAGCGAAAGTGAACAAGTGAATGAGGAGGAGGACAGTCATCAACCGAGCACAAGCGCAGGCTCCGCAAGCAACGCAAAAGTGATATGCACGGCCGCTGTGATGGAGGAGAGAAGTGACTCAGGAAGAAGGCATTTGCTCAAAGGATGGAGAGAAGGCTGTGACCGAGGTCAAAAGCTGAGAAAGCACACACTTGTCCTTAATTGTTATCTTTTCTTTTTTCTTTTTGACTTTGCCACCACAGAAATGGCAATAGCAAACATCAGCAGACTGAAGATGAGCTCATCTGCTCCTGGAGGCTTCATTATTATTGTGGAACTGAATTCCCAAGAGGACATTTTCTGTTACAATGTAGGTGGTTGCAGGAGGCCTACATTCAAACTTTGGTATAGGAAATGACATGTGTGTACAGTTGTCATTTGTTGTGTGAGAATAAGTTATTATTTTGTTCTTCATATTCTCACTTGTGGTGTGTGTGTGAGTGAGTGAGTGAGTGTGTGAGTGAGTGAGTGAGTGAGTGAGTGAGTGAGTGAGTGAGTGAGTGAGTGAGTGAGTGAGTGAGTGAGTGTGTGAGTGTGTGAGTGAGTGAGTGAGTGAGTGAGTGAGTGAGTGAGTGAGTGAGTGAGTGAGTGAGTGAGTGAGTGAGTGAGTGAGTGAGTGAGTGAGTGATGTGCGAGAGAGAGAGAGACTGCCCTTTGTACATGTAGCTGTGGCTGACAATAAATAATGTTATTATGAATAAATTTGCCTCTGAGTCCTGCATGAACATAGACTGTATTTTAACATTGGTCATATGGTGGTACTTGGAGAGACACCTATTTTGTCAGGTGGTACTTGGTGTAAAAAGGTTGAGAATCACTACTTTAGGTGATAGTAGGCTGACTTAGTAATTGTTTTAATGTGACTGTTGAAACTCAGGTCAGAGTCCATGACTACACCTAGATTTCTGGCTTTATCTGTTGTTTTGAACATTGCAGACTGAAGCTCAGCGCTAACTTTTATACGTTCTGACTTGGCTCCAAAAAGCATTACCTCAGTTTTGTCTTTGTTTAATTGGAGAAAGTTCAGACGCATCCAGTCATTGATTTGTTCAATGCACTTACTCAGTGTTTGAGTTAGAGCATAGTCTCCTGGTTAAATGGTTATGTACATGTGTGTGTCATCTGCATAGCTATGGTAACTTATTTTGTTGTTTTGCATTATCTGAGCCAGTGGTAGCATGTAGATGTAAAAGGTCTCCTATTATACTATTTTTAGGCATACATTATAGGTCTCAGATATATCAAAAACATGTCTATGAAGTACTGCTCAAAATACCAAACAGATCGTGCATTGTAGCATGCCTCATACCTATGGCGTTATATTTGTGCCTCTATCCTGAGCACGCAATGAAACATGTTGAGCATAGAAAATGCTATTGAGCTTGAAAATTTTTGAGCACAGAGAAATATATTTTCTCTCATAAAACTCCTGCTCCGTGCGCAAGCAGACCGCTGTACGCGCTCTCTCTCCCCCGCTCGCTCGACCTCTCCAGCCTGTGCGCGCTCAGCGTTGCCTGCGCTCGCTCAAGTTGTCACAGCGTTACAAATGTGCCACAAAACCAACCAATCGGAGAACTCGAGAAGGTCAATTATGATTGGCTGGTCGTCTC